TAACAAATCTAACTAGATTCACATTTACCCGACTCTGAATTTCGTAGGACTGATCCTCTGCTACCATATTTGAACTATTGATCGTTTTTAACTTCCGAAAGAAATAGATGTATACTAGTTTGTTAGATGACTTTGTTTCGCTAGAAAAAAAAATAATGTTATCTATGCCAATTTTCATTTACTATAAAGTCTACACAATTTAAAATTCTGCTTAGTAAACATTCCACAAGTCTTCGTTTATAATATATTAGAATAGCTTATAATAAGCTTAAGAAAAATAATATTTCTTTCTTTGTCAAATATTTGCCGTTGATATTGTTAAATAAGTGCTGATGTTTGTGTATCAAATGCATTGCTTGTCAATACTTTACTACTGGTAAATTTTAAATTATTAAAGATACACTCTAAGTTAAAATGTGTGTACTTTTTTCGTCGTAAATTATAGTGCCGTGGGTCCCAGCTAGAAAATGTGTCGCACTTCAATGTACCGTATTTTTAACCGTTCTGTACGTATATGACTATGGGTGTGGGTGATGTGTGGGTGTGGGTGAGTGTGGGTGTGGGGTGTGGGTGGGTGTGGGTGTCGGTGTGTGTGGGTGTGCGTGGGGTGTGAGTGTGGGTGTGGGTGTGGGTGTAGACATAGATCTCTCCCGGAGTCACACCCACACCCCTCTAGTCATCCAGATCATGAGTTTCGGTTCAAATTTTTTCTTTGTTTTGAATTTAATATTATCAGGTGCTGCTTTTGGATCAGTTGAATAATAAGATTGATTCTCTCCAACATTAGCATTAATCAGTGTAAAATATTTTTCATCATCTACAATGATATCACAATGACGGCCAGTCGTTTTGTATAACTTGCCACAATTTTTTCTCGCTCTTTTTTCGTGAGCTTTATTATCCATTCTTGGAGCCTTTCTACGTCTTCTAATAACCAATGATGTTCGACGACGTAAATTACGGCTAATAGTTGATTGATTAACATCATAACGTTTGGCTAATTTACGTTGGCTAATGCCACAACGATTGTTAGCAGATTTAACAAGCTGTTTTATTTCTTTATTTGAAAGTTTTAATGGACGACCAGTTTTGGGCAAAAATTTTGTTCGTCCATGTTTTAAATACCTTTGTAAGATGTTATAAATAGTTCTTCTTGGAACACCCTGTTTTATAAAATAATTAACTGTTGTTTTGCAAGATTTATTTGATGAATCGACATAAAAATTGCAAATTCGTTGAGCAAGTTTTTCTCTTTTTTCTCGTGTCATTTCTTTTATGAACGCGTGGTAAAAACAAATAATATATGATTCGAAAGAGGAGAAAATTTCCTATCGAATGGTAACAAAATTTCTTCAGAGAGACTTATGTGCAAAGAAATACAATGGTCAACGTTTCGTGTCATTACTTTTGCATCGTACGCTATATTTTAGATCAAAAATACCATTGACAGTGATTTTGTCGTTGGTAGATCATTATGACTGTTGGCATTGAGTATCTAGCTTTGTCATCAAGCTTATCACATCTAATAGAGCCGTCGAGACTTACATTAGTGTTCATCAAAAGCCGATTTCTGACGATAATTCACTTAATCCAGTTGACTCAGCATTCGGTGGCGGCACAATTTATGAAATCATATATGTCAAGGGATGCTCCTTATTAGTACTATATATGAATGAAAAATATTAAAAAGATTTCCTGTAGTTGATCAAATGATAGTGACCTGATAGTGGTTTTTAAGACTATCTCACATATCTTGATAAGAATATTCCGGAAAGAGATAGTTAGCTTTTGGAATTGTTCACAACTTTTCACGGCTTAAGAACAGAATAACGAAAATCCAATTATGGATCTAACTGAACAATGTTTATTAATATTGAAAAGTCGAACAGATTGTCTTCGACTTTCTATATTTTATTTACATGTGAAGTGCTAATAGAATAGCAAAAAGTTTTCCGCTCCGAATGATGATCATCTGTACAATAAAAAACAAAACAATTTCAATATTGATTCTTAAGTAAAAATAAAGTAGATAGAGTTCTGTTCACAAATTTCAATGAAGTTTAATATTCAGCAAAAATGTTTAACAGGAGATTATAGATTAAAACAGCAGAAATAAGTCAACAAAGAACAGATTCATTTTATTAGTAATAAAAGTTACTCAATAGAAACGTTCTTTCTTGAGCAATTAGTGTGAGGTCAACATGATCAAGTGATATATACACCTTTATCGTCATCCAATATAAAACAAGTAATACGAATAGAAGTATCAAGCTGAATATATAAAATGCGTCAAGACTAAGGCGTATTAAGGCATCTGTTTTATCTTCATCAAGATTTCAGGTATAGTAAACACTGTCTCATTTGAATAGGTTCATGTGTGCGGATGTGAACTTTGGTGTGAATGAACTGATAACACCCACATTCTCTAGTTGTCATATGACTACCGGTAATGCAACCAATGCTGCCCGAGTCATCACTGAAGATGATTCTCACTGGGTATACGTATTACTAATCACTATGAAGACACAAGACTACGAACATTATAGACTCTCAAAGAATTGGGCGTTCACAAACTATGTGGAAATATATATTGTTTGAGCCTATTCCGCAGATCTAAACTCATATCAGTTCTTTCTACTGTTAAAACTGAAATATCTTTCAGCAATTATTGTTATATTTCAGAAAAGCAGTTAAGAAAACGTGTTCGATGTGAATCTTCAGCTTTGATTTGGTCACATCCTGCCTTATAAAATATTCGATCAAAGCAATTTTAAAGGAATACAATGTGAAACTTTTTATTCCCCTTTTAAACACAGCGTAGAATAAAATTTAAGTTGCTAATCTTTTTCGTGTGTATATCTTCTTGCAGACTGACAGTTGACAGTAAACGAATGAATATTGCTTCAAAGATTTAAGAAAAAAGACAAAACAATCGAAATAATCATTTTCTGTTCTTTTTTCTACTTCATCGATGGAGGGTGTCAGAATGGTGTGCAACTTTATGTTTTCGATATTTCTCATTTTTCGAATGTTATCACTCAAAATAAATATAATTTAAATACAAAGATGGATAAAGCAATGAGCTCTATACACACAAATATTATCCTACATAAGTATGTATGCACATATACATGTATATACAATCTGTTTTATAATATATTCCAAATGAATAAAATAATTACATTAAAAAAAATCATAGTCTTTTTGCAGAATGCCGAAGTCGATACGGATTGACTCAGGAATTTATTGTAATCGAAATCATAACGATATAATTTTCGAAGTTGTTCAATTTTATCCATTCTATTACATTCTGGAATATTACAGTGTACTTCAAAATTATGATTACTTGTTTTTCTTTTTTTTAATAAATATGCTCGTTCATCAAGAAGAAGATCAGAGATCGTTTCAGCATTGTCGAAACAATCGGAACATATTGAATTTGTTATTCCATTAATAGATGTAAGACATGTAATACAAAAAGTACTCAATTGTTCTTGTGAATAGCATTCATTAGGATTTGTAAAATTTGTGTATCTTGAACATGTTAATGGAATCTCAGGCGTTGATGTGTATAATAATGGTAAAATTATGCTTGTATTATGTTCGATTATAGTTGAATTCAATAATAATTCAAGTTTACTAAGTTTTGGTTCATTACAACCGTTTGTTAAACAATGATAGGTAAAACCATATTCATATGACCCATTACTTTTTATTGTTAAGCCAAATAGAACAAAATCTTCATTGTATCCATATGCTTGATGATATGTTTCTGAATTAATATTTACGTATCCTTTACCATCATTTTTAAAATCAATCTCTATTGTACAATACGTTTTGTTGACGTCCATTTTGATGCAACGTGGTGGTGTTGTTAAATTCGTAGCTGTTACCACTAATTCATCACATTGATAACAAATTAAACATGAACCAGACTTTATTATTAGTATAAAAATAAGAAAACTCAAACCATATGAGAATACCATGCTAAAACTAAAATTAAGGAAAAAGAAAGTGCTTCAATTTGACAAACTACTTCTAATTGATTTCTTTTGGAATACTTCAATCTGAAGAGTACGAACGTCAACAACAAACAGTCCTAATCCTTACCAATCGAACAGTATCAGTACATGATAGTCATCGAAATAGGACGACAAAAATTTGTTAAACTTTGTTTCTTTTTTTATTTATCGTGGTAATGAATCACTTGTATTTTTTTGAAAATTTATATATAATTTTTGAAAATTAAATGTTACAAGTAGAATCATATTCAAAGAACATACAAGTATAATCAAGAAATCATGCTGATGAGACTTTTGTCTCAAGTGATCGAAATTGAAAGTTGACAATTTAATGAACTCCGCACAACAATATTTCACTGATATTGGTGAGCAACACTGTGTGTATCTGGATTGGTCAAAAGGATAGGTTTCATTCACTCCGTTCTCAATTAAATCATGATCTACTAATTCAAATTCAAATCTATCAATCGAACTCATCCAGTCATAGACAAACTCATTGTCGTTCCTGACTATTCAACTTCAGTTGTTGGATGTGCATATGAAACTATTCTTTCGACTCTCCTTACCTGCTCTTTGTCGTCATTATCTTCATTTGAATGCTTACTACTTGCCTATGTAGCTTGTTGTATCATTTTTACTCGTGATAAGATAATATATCAGTTGACAAACATTGAAAAGCAACGTTTTGCACACAATTGTCGACTGCATAATACTATCTCGTACCTCGAATTCTCCTTCTTTATTTTTATTCATTGTTGACTCTGTTTATATTTTCATCTTTTAGACACATGAACTGATGAAGGAATCAAAAACGTGTGAGAATGTCATACATAATCTAAGAAAAAGAGCGCGGCTGAATGCCAGAACGAGAGGGGAAGATAGAATAACAGGGTATGGGTGTGGAGGAGTGCATACTCACAATAATCGAAAATTATCAATTTCTTTTGAACAAATCCTCTTATAACTTTGCAATCTTTCTTATATCTCCAACTTTTGATTCCTCGAGTGGCTTCTGCTCAAATTCATTCATGCACACACCTACTCATACTCTGCAATATTTCGAATCGACTGCCTATTGGATATTTATTGCTTTGCTATCTTTGTAAAGGATAAATTTAGGATCAAATTTTATCATAGTACCAGCCGATAGAATGTGATATATATCACTTACCTCGTTCTAGACGAAGTAGTGCTGATAACTATTCGTAGACAATCTCAAGAATAGAAAATATGCAATTCACGCAGCTTTGTACACCAGACACTCCGGCTAAATAAAATCGACGAGCAATACTACAATGCTCTTTCTCTGTCTTTTTCAAAAGAATATTCACAATACGTGGATCTCGTCTTTTATGTTAAAAACCTACAGATGTAGGTTTTTTAATTAGGTCTTTTTGAAAAATATAAAATCTTTTATTTTTTGTCCTTGAATTGTTGTTATATTCAGATGCAATGTATCAAAATCAATTTTTGAAATATATGTTGCTGATAAATTATCCTCCCAAGATAAAACATAAAATTGTCTAGTTTCTAAATCTGTCGAAAATGGCTTATAACCTTCAGCAATTCTTACACCTTTTGGTGTTATTGTTACATTTTGTATTTGTTTACCAGTTCGTTCATTTACTTTTATGCATACCATGGGTGTAATTATACTATATTGCCATAAGGCAATTAAACCAACGGATTTTATATAACCAAAACCATAGACATTATAATCAAAATTTTTCGTCCTGACAACAACTTTACTTGCACGATCTGATAAATCTAATGTAATTAAAACTGTATGACCTTTCTTAAAATTATATGCATGATAAGTAAACAATTGATTTTTGTTATCAAAATAACTACCAGGCATGGATGAACCAATGTCTATCAGTTGAACTATTTCTCTTTTTATTTGTAAGGTTTGTGTGTTTACTTCAACTAAATATTGTGCATTACTGTTGTTGTGTATAATTGCGTATAATTTATTACTTATGCTATTATATTGTATTTGATCAATCATGAATTGTTGAACTTGTTCAGTTTGTTCAACTTGATTTAATACTAAATTATATTTAAAAAATTTCGATATACCATATAATATTTGTTCCATAATAAAATAGATATTCTTATTCTCACGATCGTATGTATAAGTGTCAATACGATTGTTCAATGATCGAACATATTTTGATGGATAATTAGTGACTTGAAACGTTGTTAGTGTACGTAAACGATCTCCAGTTTCTTCATTCCATGTTCTAACTGAAAAATCATCGATTGAAAGCCACTGTGATGAAATCGAACAGAAAAATAACGATAAGAGAAAAACTCTACACAAGTTACTATCAGTCATTTTTGTTGTTTTTTTTTGTATTCTAAACATATGAAGTCATTAACTTTCACTGTCATGTGTTATCTTTGTTATCAAAATACGAAATTTGAGGAGTCTCTTAGGATTGCATATTCGTAAAAAAAATACACTTCACACATCAGTAGGTGGCGCATTGGAAAGTGCTAACAATATTCAAAAAATCGTACTATTATTGGACTAGTGTACATACAATCGTTATTATTGAAAGATGCAACATTTTGAACGTTTCAAATCGATCGAATCCAATGAAAAGTTGTTTTTCCTATATCAAATCATTTTATTGTTATTCTGAAATTGTCCAGAATAATACATGAATTAAATAAAATCTTTTATTTTCTTACTCTGATATAGCAAATAATAAATATTTGTCTCATAAAGTTATATTGAAATTTGTTTTTTCCTAGCTTTGCAAATTAGAAAGTATTGTTCCAAGTGAAAATTTAACAATCAGTTTAAATAATTATTTTTTTCATCAGCCGACATCTACTAAACTTATACAATGGTAATAAGAATGATTAATACCATAGATACTGCTGGACCTCTGAGAAAAATCAGTGCCTTTTTTTAAAAATACATCTTCATTATTTCAAATGTATATTCTTGTTCTATATATGTGTATAGTTTATCTAGCAAATGAAAAGTCATCATTCTTTTTTTGAAAACAGATGAATAGTTATTTTTCTCTCAAATAGCATATATCGATGTGAAAAAGTCAAACAGCTAATATTTTAAAATATACTCAAAACATAATAGACTCATATTGGCATTTTTCGTAAAAACCAAAATTATATGTCAGTGTCTAATCCTAAAAGAAAATATTCATAGCTTCGTTAAATTTTAAAATTTATTTGAATACGAAATCTTTTAACAAACGATTAAAACAAGGTTCTTGCCTATAACTTTCACATGTACTTCATACCAAATAGTTAACATTGACTATGAATGTAAAGTTAAACGGTTGTTCAACAATACAAACAATAGAATACACAATGAATTGTAGCTGATATCTCGTATAATTTCGCTTTTGATAACGTTAATAATAAATAGGCAACTGTACATTACCTCTAGAGATCAAATATAACTTCCAAATTACAATAAAACTTTCTTCTATTCATTGACTCCTGATAAAAGACTTGTCATTTGTTGAAACGGCAGAGTTTGAAGACAATTATATTTTTACGTTGTTTCAGTGACTACCAGCTACACACTTTTGAATACTATTCTAGAAAGAAAAATATCAAGTAACAGAATCATTTAAATCAAAAGTTTCATCAACATCAATACGAAACGATTCAATATCAGTTGTAGAATTTTCTGCATTATAATGTATCAGTTTCGTGAAGTGCAATAAACTAATAGTGTCCAGAAGGGTGTGGGTGTGGGTATAGATGACAATAATACTCATACCCACACCCACACCCGCACCCTATTTCACGTAGAATTGATTCAAATACGATCCATTAATAGAATCTCGACAAAGATTTCGTTTCTCATAATTTTCAAGAACTATATTGTTCAACGTTTCGAAAAATAGAAAAATTTTGAAGAAATGAGGAAACTATTCAACGAATGTCGAAAATACATTAAGAGCGTTTGGTGAGATAAATCATAATGATGAGGCTGATCTGGTATAAAAAAAAAATTATTCAATTCTGCCATTCATTATCGAGCTATCATGGAACTTATATTCGTGTATCCACCATGCATATTTATTCATGAAATCATAGTGTGATATTTAATTATGTGGACTAAATTAAGTTACAAATTGGAATACATATGTGTAAGAACGATCATAACATCATTGTTCAGTATCTAAATTCAAATCATGATCAATGAAAATTGGTACATTATTATATTGATAAACTGGTGGCGATCAAATTGTTAATCTAATTTCAATAGGACATGAGTTACAACTATTATGTTACAATATTCGAAGTTTTGTGCTGTTTCTTCAATTTCAATGAAAGTCGACATCATATAGAATAAAACTATGTTTGTCTTGTCAACAATCCTAGTAGTTAGGTAATAATGAACGACTTTGTTTATGTAAACAATAATATCGATGGATTGCGACATAGCATCTTTTTGAAATGCAAAACATGAGACAACGAAATTCGAATAAAGAATAAACAAATGACAAACAAAAACACCTTAATAGACGAAGAACAATATTAGGTTCGAACTTAGAGTTGTTATTTGCTATAAGTACTTCAAAGTCTTCTGTATCGATTTGTGCTGAAAAAAAATTTTTCGTGTTGTCGAGATTTCGAAAATCCATGGTCTTTTTTTTTCAAAGCTCACTATCTCTAAAAAGAATGTGTTTTGTTGACTATTTTTGATGCAGCGTTTCTTCATGTATTTTTAGGTGAAGGAAGTCGAGCATATTCACAACGTCACCTAGAGTCATCCTCAAATCGCTGCTTGCCTTTTTTTTCTGTGTATATGTGGAGAAAAGACGAAGCTAGTGAAGCGAAGAAATGGAATCATATTGGAAACTGTTCACTTTGATGAAAGAATTCTGACGATTTTTTTTCATAATCTTACTAATGTTTATTATTCCTACTTTTCTACACTTGTTTCTTTCATACTCATAGGTAATTTTGTTCGGTAGTAGAAACATACAGGTGTTCACCACGTGAAATAAACATCACTCAGAAAAAAAGAAAAAAACAACGCTCGAGAAAATGCGTTGGTTGGTAAAAACCCAGTCACGTTTATTTAGTAACTGATACGTAATACAGTCGATCAGCGATCATACCAAAGCAATTATCAAACGTCGAAATCTTAATTTTAGTGTAAGTAGACTGTCGGGACCATCAGTTTTTCTCCACTATGTTACAGAACCTAGTTAATATTTCTATTTTTCAAGAAAAGAAATAATAATAACTGAATTCATCAATGGAGACGATAGAAAATATAATAAACAAACATGACTTTTCTTTTTCTATTGCATATATTTCTATTTATGAGAAGACATAACGAATACAAAGTAACGATAATGAGGGTGTGTGGATGTGGATAAGTGTTTGATTATGTGCAGGATCTTCATTAAATCCTGTTTCAAATCTTGTTAAGATCTTTAAATTCCGTGCTTACACGCTTTCTTCAGAATTTAGTCGTTTTCTCCTATGATACAAGTCAGTATGCATTATAAAAATGGAGTAATTATCATATCACAATTGGATTTACTTTTGATGAGAACATATCTCAACAAATGTCCATAAAACGACCATTCAAAATTATTAATATTTCAGAAATTAGAATAATGCGGCGAATTGAAGCCATCCAAAAAGAAATGCTACATAACGTTTTCTGTAAATAGAAGAAAACCAACTTTTTTTATTTTACTATTTAAGGGAATAGTTTTGAGAAGTATTCTTGAAATTTGTTTATGAAAGCAAAAAATGGACGGACTCATCTTTTCTATACAAAGGAAACTACTTAATACTGTTCAATTAGTAGTGGAATCAAATCAAATTACTTTTGGAAAGGGACTTTTGAGAAATCCTGTAGATGTTTAGATAAATGCAAATAGTTAGGCAAGCAGATAGCTAATTAAATAGTAAGTTAGATACATTTTGTCAACAATGATAAAATAACAAGAACTAATGAGTTCGAATTTTCAATATTGTGTTCAGTTAATAAAAACAATTTTCTTGCTTTCCTCTGTAGATACATGATAAGTTTTGAAAAAATTGTAGTGTATGATATTCAGCGAGATCTTCATGTCTTTTGAACGAAAATAGCTACAGATCTTACCTTTATGTTGATCGATAGAGAAAATCCTATGCTTTCTAACCATTATATTAGGATTGGAAATTCTCATTTGATTCAGTTCGGATATAAATAGTGCTTCTAAAAACTCATCATATGTTTAACAAGAAAAGCACGAGACTTCTTTGTATATTATATGAAAATATAAAGCATATGTTGACTGCAGAGAATGATAAGAATATCTAACGCATTGCGATTAGCACCCAAACGCGGTCAAAAAGTTAATCTCATTTTTACTCAGTTTTTCTTTCATCTTATTGTCATCTTGAGTTTATCTTTCTTTGAATCAAGCACAGTCAAGAATGGGTGGAGTAAGGATTTAAATAGAGTTGGATGTTTCGTATGGAACATGAAATCTGTTTTCTCGATCATTGTTCAACAGAGTTGTTGAAGTGCTTAACTGAGCTGAATCTCGTTGTCGAAACTTGATTCGAAACATATAAGAACGACACCAAAGTTGGAATGATAATAGATTCAGAGGCAACCGCAAATAAACTTGAGTCTGATCAGAAGACAACGTAGAGAAACGTGAACTATCAGGAAACCCACGTGACATCTCTAAAATGGGTATGAATGTGAAAGTTACCAACATTTTCAAATTCATTTCAGGTATGTCCATGCAAATGTTTAACAGACGAATCATAGAGGTGACCGCGAATTTTATTCGACTAATTACGAAACCAATACCAATGAAGATCAAGAACAAACATTATAGCGATGATTGTGCACATATTGTTGTTGTCCAAAAACGTTCACCAATAATTGCATCATCGATGAACAAATATTTGTTGTGTACGAATAAGTCTATCACAACTGGACTAAACAGTAAGTATTGAATTATCAGATGAACATGTATCTTAATTAATACTTGCTTTGACTCTTTACATGAAATATGATTGTTCGTCGTGCACATACTGATATAGAAATGCCGAGTTTCGACTATTATCGACGAAAGACACGTCTCAATCCATCGAAATCATATCGAGACTCAAGTGATAACATAGCACCCTACTCTTATTTGGCTCCAATTGGTGCGTATTTGTTCATTTTTTCATACAACATCATAGATTTCTTATACGATACGTAACTGTAGCAGATGATATATGTAAAAGTGCTGTGAAGATAAATCTGAAACTCATTTTTCATATGAGTCTAACTTAGATTGAACTGGTTTCTTGCAGGTCTCGCTGTAACATCCGCTTATTTGACCAAATATATCACTCGAGATGTTGTCGCCTATATCGGTCCGTCTAAAGATGTTATGTCTCCTACAATGAAGATCTCTCTAAAAAACATAGCACCAGGCACAACGAAAATCTTCAATTGGAAAAATAAACCGGTTTTTGTACGTCATCGTACAATGGAAGAAATCACACGAGAAGCAAGTGTCAATATTAGTCGATTGCGTCATCCTCAAGCCGATGCTGATCGAGTTAAGAAACCGGAATGGCTCGTCGTAATCGGCCTTTGCACTCATTTGGGTACGTGCAAAACTATATTGCATGTAGACCAGTGAATAAAATTTCATGGATTCTTGATTATTTTTCGTTTCAGGATGCGTTGTGGTTCCTAATATCGGTCAATACGGAGGTTTCTATTGTCCTTGTCACGGTGCGGATTATGATGTATCGGGCCGTATTCGAAAAGGTCCAGCACCTTTTAACCTTGAAGTTCCTGAATACGCTTTCAAAGATGAAAGCACTATTGTCATCGACAACTACTGGCCTAAACAACTTTGATTCACAAAGAAGTTTTGCTTCCATCTCTTTCATATTTTCCAAATGTTAGTGTATTCCTTTCTATCGCATAGACAAGCACACTTGCTGCTGCTTTATTTGCATCTGCAGTTATTTTTCACATCTCCGAAATCATGAAAAGTTTCATATAACAGCCTTCCAAAACGCAAAGACCGATTTCAGGATGGGGTATGGGTGTGGATGAAGAGAAGGCCTATGATGATGGGTGGATGTGTGGGTATAGATGGGTGTGGGTATGGGGTGTGGATGTGGGTGTCAGTAATCACGAAATTTATATCCACATCCACACCCACACCCACACTTCATACATATGCTTTTAAAGAGCTTTTAGTCAAAATAGACATCCTTGTAAAGTAAATAGTACATTCTCTAAACAATGATCGAGGCAACATATTCTCTATTGAAACTTTATTCTGTACATGCACACATTTTTGAAAAAAAACGCTTTTTTTGTTAGCAATGTGGGGGACGAGGAATTAACAAACAGAAAATGTGCACTTTATAACTCCCAAGATGAAACAGTCTGTCTATAAGACATTCTACAGATTTATATGTCCATAACTAGGAAAAAATATTATTTCTTTTAAGATTTGTATTTACTTTTGAGACGATAGCGTTCGGATTCATCCGAGTTCAAAAAAATGTTTATCTAACCAAGCTTATACTCATTGATGCTATTGTTCAGTTTTAGCTAAATAAGAAAATATTAATTTTTAATACAATCTATATTTAATTTTGGATGATAGTATTCAATTTAATCCAAATAAATGATGATAATTATTATTAGATTGTAGAATTTCTACTAATATATTTACAATGTAGTTCAGATTAATCTAAAAACAAAAAATCTGTTCATTTATCGAAATATGATACCTACCCTTGAGCATGTGATTTTGAGCTAGTTGAAAAATTTATTTGCGTATTTAAATTATAGATAACTTTGATCATGTTGTAAAAAATAACTAATCTGTCAAATCAATTCGGTTAGCAGTGTGATTTCTGTATAGAACATCTATTATTGACTTTACAAGATGTACCGGTAAAATTAGATGACATATAAGTGTACAAGCATTTATTGAAATGCGTAACATTATTGTTAAAAAAAACACTACCTTATAAGATTTTGTAAAAGACTTATAGCAAAGAATATATTAAATGTCACAGTAAAGTATTCGTACTCTTTCGTAAGATCATCTCAATCGTCCTAAAAATCTTATAATAGACTCAATTTATGCTGTAGTATCTATCTTCAAATTTTCGTATTTTTGTCCGTATGATTAGAGAGATATTAGCTAATCACATTTTAGTTAATAATTAGCTAAAATAGTCAATACTTAGAAATTTCTTTCAGAAAACAGTCGTTGTAAATAATCGACAAAAAATACAAGATTTGTATGTTGTGGTTTATGTGAAATAACTCTTATAAACATGTTATTTAACCAGATACAGATAGTGCGGTTTTTTTCTTGTTTATTTAGTCTCAAGAATTGACAATCTTGTGAGAAAAACAACTTTTCGTTTTGAAGAAAAGTCATATAAACCACCAGTAATAATAGGGTGCAGTTGTATGAGTTTGAGTGCGGAGGAACAGAACACCCACACTCACATCAGACTACACAGGCACACCCACACCCACATCCAATCCACACTCACACTCACATTCACACTCCATATCAACATCCACACTCACACCTTCAAGATCTGCTCAACTAAAATACATTTTTATTTTGATAAACCAATAGAATTAGAGGTGACTACAAGTGAAATAATTATGTATTAGTTTGACGTTTCATGATGAACATATGATCTTTCGATTCTCCAACAAGATAATCATATTCGCCGACTTCGTAGAAACCATAATGCGCATAAAACTTGTGTGCCTTAAAGTTCTTTGACAACACAGAGAGCCATACAGGTCGTGCAGAATAATGTTCGTCTAACCACGATAAAATGACCTTCATCAACTGTCGACCAAATCCATGCGATTGGTGATCGCGTCGGATATACAAACGATTGAGTATCCCATCTTTATTTGGACAAACATCAAGATGAGAAATATCATCAGAAGCACCGGCAACAGCATAAGCAATGAATTCATTATTTATCGTATCTTCTATTATCCAAACAGCTTGTTGGGGATCAACTATTTTATTGGCAAACCATTCTGGACTTGTCGATGAACGAAAGTAAGAATCAAGATATTTTTCAGGATAATGAATGGAAAGATCTTCTACAAATGTTTCTCGAATGGTTCTTTGACAAAGTTGAGACAATGCATCAATGTCAGAGATATGAGCACGACGAAGAACGAATCTATCATCCATTTGTTCAAACTAATTCAGTGTAAAATAAATCTAATAAATACAAGAAAAAAAAAAGAATATTAAGTCAAAATCAAGTTAAAGGTTCCTTTATCTACTGTTTTAGATCTTTGAGAATTGATAGTATTTTAAATGTAATCACAACTGTTCATATGTCTTATGAAGAAAAATTATTATTCAGACAACCAAAACAATTGTTCGTGCAGCTTTTAAGAGATCTCTAAGATCTTGTGAAAATATTTTCAGCTATGCTACGTTAAAAAATAGAAGAATATCAGTTTTGGATCTTTCGAGATTATTTTGAAATATCGAGAAATTTTGCTAACACTTTTCTTAAGGAGAGCCTCCTCATAAATGAAATTTTTTATTTTTCCATGGAATTCAACCAAAATTTCAAAAAATGTTAGTTTTGGCTAGAATAGATTATGGTTAAAATATCTCCGCGAATCTGTAAGTCATTCACGAGTTATCGTCAATTCATTGGTCAAAAATACCCTTTACGTGGAGAAGGTTTTCAACATGAGGATTCGAACTAAGTATGTCGGGATGGTTTTTAAATTGTAGAGCACATTTAGGGCTAGATCCTAATAGAGCACGACTTTTTAATTTCCCTTTGTTTGCTTTTAAAAAAAACTTTTCTCAAAAGTTCTGAAATCCGTGGCGAAAAAATCGCTAATTAAAATCGAAGATTAAGTTTTTTATTTAAACAAAGGAGAAATTCAACGATCGGGTGCTATTAGGATCTAGCTTCAAGTGTCTACTGTATGACAAAAAATATTACCACTTTTATATGTAGTCGTTATTGAGAAAGGCTTCCCCGCGTAAACGGTATACTCGAAAAAACTGTTTTTAAGAAAAACGGAAAATAAGTTTTTAAAAACTTTATTTTTTCCAATATGGAAATTCAGAAAAATCTATGTAATATTCTTAGAGTTCATCATTGAATCAATCAACTATAGTGCATTCGAGAGTAGACACTTTGCTCTACCTAACGAGCTATAAATCACAAAATTGATAAATTTGACAAAAATTGACTTTGTCTGAGGGGGTCCCTTTAGTGAATGAGATACACATTGCTATAGATTAAAATTCTTTTTGTGTTATTTTGAAAATTCATCAAAATAATGACTCACACTTCTAGTGATAAATGTTACTCATAATTGAATAAACATATTGCTCACCTTTTATAAATGATCTTCTTCAAGTAACGGTATGACTGTCGAGTGTACCTCGATATCTTAAATGGAACGTAAGAAAAAACGATTCTGTTTTGTTTTGTTTTATTGTTGTCATTATCTATTTAAAAAAAAACACAACAAGCAAATATTGTACAACGATATCTTTTTCACTTTTACTGAAGAAAAAACTACACTGTAATTGTCGAGATATAATGGAAAAAAAAACATTTTGATCAAGTTTTCATTATTAATAGAAAAAAAAAAAGATTTGTTTATTTAATAAAAATAATACAAATTTCATTTATGATATGTAATTTTGTTTTTCGTCTGAGGAAAATATTTCATGTTGTTGTTTTAGTTTGAAGTTAATTTTGAAGTGCTTGTTCATTTCATATTGTTGAAGTAATTCATTTTCTTGATGCATTATAAATGTAGAAGAAAATTTTTTTCTATTATGAAAAAAAAGATAATGATGGTAAAACATGTTTTTTCTTCTCTTTCTTTAACAAATCATACATGTTCATGGACATTAGTGGAAGTGAAAGATGAAGTTGGAATTATTGCCAAATGAACTGCTACTTTCAATTTTTGTTCGCTTATTCAGTGCGCATCTACTTAAAGCTTTTAAGAGACTTAATTCTCGTTTTGATGCTCTTCTTTTTGTTCATTTTCAAAGTTTTGGTCAACTAGATTTTCATTCAATGAACAAAAAGAATTTTATAACAATTTGTCAAAATTATCTTCCATCAGTTATTAATAAAATCATAACAATTTATATATTGGATGAAGATGAATGTTTACAATCAATTAATTTATTTTATTCATATAGTTTAACATTTTCTCAGTTTTATTCATTTATAAATGCTTTCATTATTTCATATTTATTGTCAAGAACAAATTAGGTTGTAAATGTAGGTGTGAGTATGTCAGTGTTTATTCGTAATCCACACCCACACCCTTCTTCCTTCGGATGGAATATTTGATTAATACTTATTGAATTTTTCTTTTATTGTACATTGTAGTTATTTTCTATCAGCAAGTGATCCATATCAGACGAGCACCAATTTTTATAAAGCCACGATTTTGTCTTAAATGCGCAATATAACTTTAATTCTTATATTTCAAACACAGGAGATTGATGTGCTTTTCTCAAGATCCAAATAGGTTTGACAATATAGCTCTTGACTCTTTGATATTGTATGTCATTCTTTCCGACCCTATATTTATTTTCCTGTTTCATGCCGTTGAATTGATGTGAAAATAGAATCGAACACAGGCTACATCTCTTCAGTTGTCGTGTACTCAGGATTTGATTCATGTTGAAATTCAACTCAAACATTGTAGCTTTCAGCTAGAGCGGTAGGGACTCCCTTTATCTATGCCACTACTCATTGCATTGATCACTGCCATACAAAGGGATATTCAGAATATGGTGTTAGCAACAACAATTTATCGAAATGAGAACAAGATCAAGATAGTTAAACAAATATAATTGAATACAGTAAGCATAACATGAGTTATCCTGTAAATAGAAGCCTCATTTGAATGCAAGAATTCTTGAATACATTACAAAATTGCTGGCATTCACTTCTTTTATCCTTTTTCTTTTATCACCGCAGCCTAATTCCTGGCAGCGAAACTTAATAAATAGATATCATCAGGTATCGCATTTGAATAAACTTTCACACGATCTTTGAGAACTCAAATCCATGATTGTGGGTGCATACGAGATGTAGCCAAGAGAGCAGGATCACGTTGTTTGTCGTAGATTTTTGTAGTCACTAAAAATGATTCAGTTTCCATTGATAATGAATGACGATGCCACTCGATTGTCTAATTATGTTCAAGCATTTGCCAATGTTGACTAATATTACCTTTAAACTATCGTTGAGTACATTCATCATATATTTCCAAATTTCCTTCGTACACAAAAAATTTGGGCTGTTTTTGAAGCTTATCAATTACATTCTTCGCTGGATACGCAACTAATTCAAGCGATTGTCCAACATGATAGTTTGATTCAATTCTATATTGAAGAATCTTGCCGCTTTGATTTCACGTAGAATGTCGAACACAACTAAATATTGGTGTTTCGGAGTTTGGCACACGACAACATGCACAAGAAACAAGAATATAATTCGAGACATCGTTAAATTATGAATGACACCAGTAAACGTTAGAAGATATAGTATAACAAGCAGATCCATTTATTCACGAATGTTTCCTAATGGTAATAGCATTATTTATTTGCCAAGTAGTTCTCTCTTGGATTCATCAGTAATAAGATCTCTGCATATTCTATGACGAGTATTCAACATTCTTAGAAAGATTGAATCATTCATTGATAAATATTGATTTAAGAAGAGAAAAGAACGCAAACAATGCTGATGATATCAGGAAAATTTCCATCAGACACATCCTCATTGCTTTTGTGGAGAAATGTGATCGCATTTTGATTCCAAAAAAACATCACTGTTCATTGATGCGTGATCGAATTAGTAAACATGTTGCATGAATAAATCGAACAATCTGAGTGTCTAAAACAAAGATGTCATGAGTTAAAAGCATTTTTATTCTGAAATCCATGTCAAGTAGGTCTTGTTGAAAATCGAGAAAATGTAGGAACACTAGTTAGAATCGTTTGTAACACATTAACATTCCGTTGGTACAATAGCACACCTCATTTGCTCTTCTTTCAAAGAGAAGCGTTCTACATACATATCAATGATGAGACTCATCTTTTCAATCAATAACGTTTACAAGAAGTCAAACAAGAGATTATGAATACGATGGCAATTGACGACGTTTCGTTCATAAATCAATGAAGGAGACAAATGACGATGATCGTCTTGAGTGACTTGAACTTTTTCAAGATGATGTCGATTACATTGTCACTGATATCGATCACTGTGCGTTATCGAACTTACAGTTGATTTTGATCTGTGGTGCTTTTTGTTGACAAAAGCATTCCTTTTTTAGGATGTCACAGAGTGATTCATTGCATCAGAACGAGAGCTTGTCCACGCAATGAGTGGAGTATTTGTCATCAGTTAATTTGACAGTGACTTATATCCTTTATTACTGACCATTAAGAATCCGTCTGTTCTTTGCTACTGCCAATACAATTCTTTACAATTTAGCAAACCGAACATTCTAGCGAATTTGCGCTGTCATAGAATATGTGTTTTGTTTTTGTCATACGGCATTCGAAAAACCATCATATTAGATGTAGACAAGTGTATCGTTCAAAGTACTTTCCTCAAAGACTATTACTTTCTCGCACTATTCAATCATACAAAGCTTGGTTGTTAAAAGACCTTATTGACATTTGTTATGTGAGCGTGGGACTGCTTTCCACACCCTGGACAAAGTGGCTTGATCGTGTAATCCAATAGAATTTGTGTTGAAAGCTTTATTCGTGCAGATCTTGTTTTTTTTTTGTTACGTAGTTTTGTTCATTTTTTTGCTCGCAATTTGAGAAATTCAAAGAAGAATATCTGCTTGAAATTAATATCTAGAAAAACTAGAAGAACAATTGTCATGTGCGCTCCATATTTGAGTTTGCACCGAGAAATTTGTTTTTGCAATCGATATTACTCGATACAATTCGAGTCGGATATCGAACTAAAACTTTTCTTATTATGCGATATTGGATAATCTGTACGTCGTGTACCATATAGATGCTCATCAATGTCATCATTCGTAGATATTCTTTTGGAAAATGTTGTTTCTGCAATATTCCTGCTCGGGGAGTTTGGAAGTTTTTTTTTCATTGATCAATGCCGAAGTTATAGAAATAAAAGACTGATGATAACATGCAAATATTTTGAATTGATCAAATAACAATTTTTCAAACAAAAAAAAAACAATTGTTTACAAAAATTGAAATGATGCTGCGATCATTAAATGATCCGATGGATGTGTCTCATCAGGATAAGACTCACCCGTCGGATGATCTGGTAAATCTAACACTTCATTGACATGAAGATTACCAGCAAAGAATATGTAGTCAAGTGTAGCACAAAAGTTCGGCGTTTGTGATGTTGAAACAAAATTTGTGTAGTTTGGTTCAGTACCATTTTTTTCGCAATAGGCACTTTTCAATATTTGTTCATCATTCGGTCGATAAGACACTTCATATTGGTTAGAATTTGGTAACTGTATATTGTTGAGATAACCTTTTTCTGTTATTACGCGATAAGGAATCTCACTAGGTTTGAAATTGAAATCACCTGCTAGAATAAATGGATGACCAGCTGCCATTTTAAACATAAGATCTTTTACCATCGAAGAATGTATTATCATAATGTCCGGTATTTTGTAAAGACAGGGCATGTGATATGTACCAATATATAGAGGTTTACCATCGATTATGACTTGTAAACAAATGAGCGTATTATTTCTACACATGGCGACATTCCAAGGATCGATTGTAGGCCTCTTACATCTGGCCATAATAAACTCACACAAATCGCGGCACCATGCGAAGAAACCAGTCTGCTTCTCACGTGGTTCCATAGTCGAACGTAAATAATCTCCAATACTGATAAAATCGGTAGATATTAACTGCATTGAAGCTGGCAATGCTATGCCTACTCCCATGTAATCATTGTATCGATTACCGTAGAGGCTATGATAAAACTTATAATTCTTTTGACGGAACAATTTATTGAATTTCGATAACATAGTATTGCCAAGTTCTTGTAAACAGATTATTGTATTTTTATGCAGACAAATCTCTCGTCGTAATTGAGATTGAATTAATCCCCATCGATATCGAGTTCTAAGAAATTCAGGTCGTGATTTTATATAGTATCCGGGTTCCTCAGCATAGATCGGTACTAGCAAATTATAGGATATTATACGCACCGTCATGGTATTACCGTGACGATGTATGTGAGAGTCGTACAGAGAAACACAAATAGAGATTTTACACTGAAACAACCATATGTCAGACGACAGCGTGTTTTATATAAAGGCAATACATTGATAGAAAGAAAAAAAAAATTTGTCTTCAACTACTTCCAGAGAAAAGAAAAAAACTTTCAACAAAGAACGAGAAATTATGCAAGAACAAGAAAAACGTATGACACGTACACAATGACTCACCACAAAGAGCACAAGCTGCTTTAGTTGCATACATAGGCAACTTTTGACAATTCATCATTGGTCATCAAACGAAGTAATTTATATATTGAATGTATATAATGTGAATCACATCCGTTTCTACTACACTCTACTCGATATTTATTATGATTTTGGTAGAAACAAACGTCAAAGCATTTTGATTGTTTAATTTCTTCTTGCATGATTGATTACCATGCAAGATTTCGAAATAATTTACAAAATTATTGAAATCAATCAACGTGTGTAAGGTTATTTTGAAATAGTAATATGTAAAACAAATATTTTCTGTAACTATAAGATTGAATTTTAAAACGACGCTAACATCTCGATCATAAATTTGTATGAGATTCAAAAATGTTGTTTAGAAAAAAAAATTCACAGAACATTTTTTTTGTTTACTTCATTTCCGATGCTGGATATCGACATGTGCTATCCATTTTTTGCGCTGCTCAACTACAAAACTACAGGGTGATCAGTTTATTTTCGAACGATTTTCGTAGACTTATTCTTCCTCAGCAACTGATTCAGATCTGATGAATCTCATATCAATGTATCCCACAAAGACTGTACATACTGCTCTAATAATCAGATTTTGTACAGAAGGATGTTTTGTAATAAAATACTGGACTAATTTTGAAGAGGTCATTTTCAAGTTTTTTAAAATGAACATTTCGTATTATTCCTCCATACTATCATCTTTTGACCTCAGACATATGTCACAGGTACATCCACTATTAGTGCATCTATGCTAAAAGTTTCAACAATAAAGAACGAGAATTCATAGAGAAATCAGTAAGTGTTTCAAATATATAGTTGAAGCTAAACATATGGCAAGGCTTATCCTGTTACCATTTCTAGTTTAATTTAAAGTCTGAAACAGCAGTTAACTGTATTTTAGAATTATCTACACGTGAGAGTAGGTCAGACGTCTATAACCATCTTGTAAAGTTTTGAATTAAACCAGAAATAGTAACAGAATAAGCCTTGCAATGTGTTTCGCTTCAACTATATATTTGAAAAACTTCCTGATTTCTCTATGAATTCTCGTTCTTTATTGCTGAAACTCTTAGCATACATGCAGTAATAGTGGATGCACCTGTGACATTTGTCTGAGGTCAAAAGACGATAGTATGGAGAAATAATCGAAAAAGTTCATTTCTGGTGGCACCTGCAAATATGCTTGTTCTCAAAAATGTTAAAATGACCTTTTCAAAATTATCTAGTGTTTTATCACAAAACATTCTTCTATACAAAATCTGATTATTAGAGCAGTATGTACAGTCTTTGTGGGATACATTGATATAAGATTCATCAGATCTGAATCAGTTGTTGAGGAAGAATAAATCTACGAAAATCGTTTGAAAATAAACTGATCACCCTGTACTTGGCGATCTACTGTGAAAATTTCAATACGATAGACAACACACGAGAAGAATTGAAAAATTTGTAACGCATGACAATGAAATATGGACAATAGACGCTTTAGTGGAAGAGTGACCATGAAGATATTTACCTATCAGAAACAACACTATAGATAACGAAACATAGAGAAAAAAATACATGGACTCATAAGCAACATAAAAGACGTTCTAACGAGTGTCAAAATAGTCATGAACAATAGGCCGAATAATACTGAGATCAGATAATTTCCATAGGTTCAACTTCGCTGTATGCCATTTTTGGTTTTCATAAACTAGCTGAAATTCGAACGTGAAAATGAGGATTCAGTGATTGCACTTTCAACTTCCATCTTATGTGCTCATCCTTCAATAATTATCCTAATTTTATCGAAACATCAAGCAATACACTAGATAAAAATACGGAAATAATTAGACAGATCTCGTAGAGCATTTGATGAAATTGAGATCCAGAATTGAGAAAGAGTGTTAAGAGAGGAACACAAGAGAAAACAAACTTATTTCGTGATTTCACCTGATTTCAAATGATTTCAAATTGATTTCAGCTATTGAAATCAGTTTGTTCCCCCTTGGTTGATCCGCACTCTCTGAAATATTATCATTTCAAAAATTCTACCAATTTATTTGATTCAATTAACATTGCAGTATTGCAAAAAAAGCTTATTTCGATTATCAGAAAAACCTTCCATGCGTAGCCTATTTTCTTCTGATGACAATCTGTTTATGATACATGCCATAGAAAACGGCAAATATAATTTTATTCATTACTCGTTTGATTCAACTATCATATTAACCTGATAAAAGAACTGATGTAATCGTCCAGTAAGCTAACATCTACAGCCATGACACTTTCTTTCAACGAGCTTGAACATGTAATATTGAGTTTTTCTTATTCATTCAGTTCATACTTTTTTATGTTCGTCCTATAGTGACACTGCTAGATTACAAAAAAAAGAGACTACCCTTTTGATTGACATTTACAATAAGATTGTTTCGCTGCATTGAAAACTCCGATCAGCAGTATTGATACTAGTGGTTAGAATCTACAGAGTTTTAGAATGATCTTCGAATTGATATCATTTACGTGTCATTTATCGTGCCCAGAACCTAGAGAAGAGTTGAAAAACCTCGATTTAAATTTTCATTTGTTATTATTTTATTCGAAAATATACGTAAATTCCGTAAAAGGTATCAATATGCTAGTGATATTCGAAAAAAATATAATTATAAAGAGATGATCTAATAATTATATTGTTGAAATAGCTACTACAATTAGTGAACGTAAACTTCTTGTTTATTTAGAATTAAGTAATCTTTAAAATATTATTCATGCTTCTCTCTTTCTCTCTTCTGTGGTTCTTTATCATTCACAATTATGTATAAATTATACATTAGAGATTATCATGTTCTTTCTTATATTTGAACTCATTTTTTTATCGCTTCGGATGTGTATTTTTTCAAGTAGTCATGTATCTGTTTATACGATGCTCTCTCTCTGTTGCTTTGTTCTGTTAATTTGACATGCTCTCGCTACGAGAGAATGAATGTATATGAAGAAAACTAGTTGTTAGATGATAAAACATTTGATTATTACATTTATTTTGAAAATAGTTGAAATTTAGATTTTGCAGAACTACTAGAATTAACTAATGTATTAATCGATATGATTGAAAGTGTTGTTGTTATGGATCTCTGATGCAATAAGTTCTATGTTGAGTAAAAAGAATTGATTTCATGCCTTACATGTCATTGAAGTAAAAGATTTCTGTCGAATTCAATTTATTTACTTTTATTTGGCAACATGTTAAATGTAAATTTTTATTTGATTTTTTTTCGTTTCTTTTGAAACTAATAAAACTTTATCAAAGAGAAAATTATGTACTTCTTAGAGCTATCATGAACTTGAATATAGCGAAAATTTCATTAAATATTTGATTAATTATTTTTTTCAGAGCATAAGCAAACTATTATGATAAACTCGATGTTTAATAGCAGTCCAAACTAAATTGTTTTATCGTCATCCAGTGAAATAGTTACATTCGATGGTTCTCTAGAATTTGCTATGAAATTTGATCTCGTTCGATGTCTATGATCACAAGGAAAATCTCTTTTTTTCATTCATGTCAACCATAACCAAGTGAATTTCAATGGAATCACATCAATTGCAATCAATGTTATATGCATCTTTTAGTTGGTATTCGTTATGAATGTATAAATCTTCAATGTTCGTTTAATTTTTGTAAAAACTGTGCTGATACAATCAAACATGAACATCTACTGATTGAATATCTTATTCCAAAACGACCATACTCAATGAATGAATTCTTTGCATCTGTACCTTATATTTACTAAGTTCAAATAAACAAGAATAAATCAAAACGAAAACTCTTTGACAAGACGATGTTAAAGCTATTGGATTTTACTTCATAAAATATAGATCAACAATTACCAGATGAATATTGGTCAGATATGCCATTGTTCACAATTCCATCCGATTATTATCATTTATTCTATGCATATTTCACACCTGATAGTTAGTTTCTATTGCGATAATTCAGATTTATCTTGCTTTTGTTCTTAAAATGTTCTGCATTGATTGTCATGCCGATCGATGGAAAAATTTTGACACATATTGACCATCATGATATATTACGTCAAGGTTCAGAAGCTATTCGGTGTTGGTCTCGTGGTGAAACAGTACCTGCTTTTACACCAGATGACTATGCACGGGAACATATTAATTGTAATGGATGTAATATGATACCACTGATTGGAAAACGATATCATTGTTCAACATGTGAAGATTACGATCTTTGTTGTGCATGTCAATCGTAATGACACGAACATTTGCTTGAACTAATGTAGATGCGTATAATGGATTTATTTTCACTTATTCATATATAGTGGAATAGAGCTTCTCAAACGTAGTGGAACTATCTATGTACTTAGTTTTTAGTTTTTTTTTTCAAACAGCTCTTATTTGTTAGAAATTCAATAAAATAAGAGCATTTCTTAATCTGATGTAGCGGATTCAATTAAGGCTATTTGTTTTAGACTCAAAGATAAAATTGGATATCTGTCGTATATACTAAGCTTGACTCCACTTTTGATTGTCTTCTTCAGAATTTTGGATTGAGTTGCTGCAGAGTCGGTATTTAAAAATCTGGTTCATAAATCATTTGTCAAGCATCTAATGTATGCATCGCTTGTACCGATATTTTGTTATGGGTCTTCGGTTCATAAAAACCCACATTTTCTTTACAGAAACAAATAAAGGTTTGTAAACTTATTTAATCATCAATTGGTATAGATAAACCATTGTATTTACATGGATTCTTGTTTGATTGATAACGAGAATGTTTCAAATAACATTTAGAATCAAATTTATGTAATGAACATACACATATAGATGAAGTAAAACAAAATGAATCATTTGCACATGAATATGTACAGTATGTAAAATACCTATTTGGACATCCCTCTACAAGCTGATATGTATTAGAACTGAAAAAAAATATTGATAGAACCTCGAAAACTTCAACATACCTGAAACCCTATGGGTTTTGGAAAGAACTTCAAAATTTTCCGGTTGAATAAAATGCAAACTCAACTCAAAATACATCATTCGATAGAAAAAATCAAACTGAATCGAATTATGTCTTTGATTCTTAAAACTCATTAAGTAAAAGACATATTAATTACTAATTATAATTAGTATTTTATATAAATCTTCTGATATAATCTTGGTTTTTAAGTAGCGAAATCAAGCTCAAAAATATTTTTTGAACGATACATCCTTGTAGAGAATTAAATTCTCTACAAATGATGTGCTTGATTGCACAATAACTATTTTTGCTAAATATGATAATACTTTATCTTTCGAAGTACAGTTTACAATGGAGAAAGAAGAAAAAAACAAATTTTTTTTCGTTCTGTCACTTTATATGAATGCCGTATTGACATAAACATCGAATGGAAAAAATCTTTTTTTTCTTCTTTCTCAACTGTAGTTGAAAAGACAGGATCTTATTATGTTTAGTAAAAATAGTTATTGTGCAATTAAGCACATCATTTTATAGAGAATTTAATTCTCTACAAGGATGTATCGTTCAAAAAATATTTTGAGCTTGATTTCACTATCTAAAAACTAAAATTATCGAAAGATCTATATGAAATAATAATTTTAATTAGCAATTAATATATCGTTTATTCAATGTTTTTTAGGAATCAAAGACATGATTCGATTTAGTTTGATTTCTTCTATCGAATGATATATAGCTGAAAATATTTTGATGGAGAATAAAGTCACTATAAAAAGAAAATTACAGAATGTCCAAATAATTTCTTTTGCCTAAGAAATCAAGCAGTTTATAGAAAGCCTTGCAAAACTTTATGAGAACATTTTCATGAAATAATTTTTTTGTTTTTCGTAGAATAAAGTAGAGACTTTGACCTATCGAATGGTATAATCAGAGTCGAGAAATTTTTTTTTTTCTTCTTAGTGAAATTTGCTTCACAAGCCAAGTATTACATGATATTCAAATAACTATTTTACATACTGTATATGTATGTATAGACCGTTAGGCAATCATAGAGACGAAAAAGAACAGAAAGAAAGAGACGACAAAAGTAAAATGAAAGTACACATTGAAGACAATATAATCTGATGTTATCGTCACATATCATAAGAAATAGTTATCGAAATTTCATTGTTATGATATTGAAGAATGATGAAATACCATACAAACACATAGCATTGCTTTTACTATCACTGGATGTAAAGAGAAAGTTTTCTTCTGCTTTCTATACGGAAATAAAGTACATTCATCACTATTTTCGAGTAGTTCTAAGTCTCTTTTAACTTTTCGACATTTTTATTTTCAGCCTTTTCTATTACTTTTTGTTTTGCCGACCTCTTTGATTTTCACATTTTTTTTCTATCTTTTTCGCTTAAACGTTTTTTTCTCAATATTTTTATACGATTAACACGTTTTGCCTTTCGATATATATGTGTTCGACACTATTTTTTTTGATCTTGTCTGCACCTACCAAGTAAACAATGCACATATATTCGTTGAGACGTCACAGATGAATATACTATGATGACGCACTGAAGCATAACGCAAGATAAACATATCTTCATCTACAGAAAGGAAAGACAAGTGAATAATTGTGCGTATTTACACGTAGTAGCAACATGGCCGTTGCATATCAATTGAAAACAACAGAATCCTTTGATCAATCTACAAATGTTAATATGGAGATTACTCAAAGCGAGGCACATGAAAATACTAATAACATAAGCAAATTCAATTCGTCTGATATTGAAAATCATTCTCAAAATAATCAGGTAAATTCCATGTGAAAAATACTAAAAAACTGACTAAAATCAATTTTTTGAAAAATAATCGATTAAAATCAGATTTTTTCCATCTTTGTTTTTTTACATGAGATATTCATGTCTTGAAGAATGATGAAAGTTTTCTCTAATTTTCGGGTGACAATTTAAATAATCTGTAAATTAAATTATCAGTAACTTAAAATTGAGACAAATTCTAATTTTAGCGTCTAAATGAATTGAAAAATTGGCAATTTAATTTATTTTAAATTTGAATTCTTTGAATTCCGCAATTTACTAAATTAAAAATTACATTAAAGTATTCTACTTTTTCGAAGTTCAATTAAAAATATATCTCCTATTTTCAACATGATATTTATCTAGAAGCTAAGTGTTGCATGATACTATCCTTCTATTCAATACTTCTTGATCTGCTGAAAGATTCTACTCTGCATTAAAATGAATCTTTCAAAGAAAAATCAACAACATAGTTTGTGCTATAGCAAAATGAAACATATTTGAAATATTTTTCTCGAACTAATCATTTTTCAGTAACTACAAGTAATTATTGACTTGATGTTAATAGAGTCTTATGTATGGAAAAGTACGAAATTTTTAGATATCATTAAGTTTTCTTCCTTTTTTCTTAGCTCATATATTAGCACTATTATTTTAGTGTTTTAAAAATGCATTAAATATGTAGGAGTTGACGACGATTGTATGTTCCAGACTTGGGCAGAATTACAGTTCCTGAGTTATCATGAAAAAAATTTTCTTTGTCGTTTCATTATTGAAGAACACTTAATCTACGTTATCAGCTTATTTGCATTAATGAATAACTAGAAAATACAAGGAAGACACCATGCAAGTTAATTAAATTAGGTGTCATTCATTGAATATGCAAAAGAAGGCCTACAGTTAAGAGAAGGAAATTACTATTACGTTAGTAGATACAAAGTAACGAGTAACAACAAATTCGTCACTAATATCTTGATATGGAAAGGGTATTTCGGTGAAAGAATGATATTTTACAGAACTTGTCCAACGCTCTTCGAGGTAGAGAAATCATAGTTAGTCATCAGATTAGCAAAATGCATCGCAATAACTTTTGGGTATCGTAGAAGTATTTCAGAGAAATAGTGTCTTTGCATAGAGAGAAATCAAGGTAACGAATTTCTAGAAACTGGATGATAGATTTGGATTCTTCGATCTCGGGAACCTTTGAGAAAGGTGTATAAAAAATTATTCTTTCATCGAAATATCCTTCTCTTATCCACCTTTTATGGTGACGAATTTCTCGTTATTCATGGTAATTTCTCTCCCTTATATTCAGCCCTGCATCGCATATTCAGTGGCATTTTGAAAACGTTCAAATAATGACCCTAATACTTAAGCTAAGAAAAAAGGAAGAAAACTTAATGACATCTAAAAATTTCGTACTTCTCCATACATAAGACTCCATTGACATGAAATTAATAATTTCTCGTGATTATTGAAAAATGATACTTCGAGAAAAATATTTCAAACATGTTTCATTTTGCTATAGTATAAACTATGTTATTGATTTTTCTTTAAAAAAACTCATTTTGATGCAGAGTAGGATCTTCCAGCAGATCAAGAAGTATTGAATAGAAGGATAGTATCATGCAAAACTTAGTTTCTAGATAAATATCATGTTGAAAATAGGAGATCTATTTTCAATTGAGCTTCGAAAAAGTAGAACACTTTAATGTAATTTTTAATTTAGTAAATTACGAATAAAGATGATATAAGTTTATCTTAAATTAACAAGAAAATGAGATCCTTGCTCCTTTTCGATCTCATCGTACATTACGGTTATTATTTATTTTGAAATAAGGCTATTGTGGGGCTAATAGAGTAACGGAAAGAATTATTATAGACAGACGAAAGCGAGATGCCCATAGAGACTCAGATATCAGTTTATATTTTCGTGATTGTATCAAATTCTGATAATTTCATCTTATCATTTTGACTGCAAAGCATATGATATCTTGACTGCCTGTCAGTCAAATAGTACCACAATATCAATAGACTTTTTTATGACAACCAGGTTGAACTAGGTTCATTTGAGTCAACCTAAATTCGTTAAGACAAATCTTCTCTTGAAAAGGTCTTAAAAGGTGAGCGACATACCTCATCGCACCAGCTTATGTATGCTTATCGGTATTCGCTATCTTGATTCTTGTTTGTTGATAATTTTTCATTCCCAAACACTGTTCATGTCTATTATGTCTGAGAAGATATGTTAGGATTTTGTGTTTGTTTTTTTTTTTTGTTTAAGTACAATCAGCCACACAACCATAGAAAAAAGAAACGAAGGACAACGAAAGAAGTTGATGATCACATGTTCGATACGATAATTGAGTATAATGGTGAAGAGATAAATGATCAGCAATCTGTCCAAACATTGGATCTTCAAGCCAAAAGTGATTCAATAAACAAATTTGACTACCTGAATACAAATTCAAATGAGGCG